TTATTTTAATTTTATTTGCATTTAGCACAACTACGCAAGCTTGAATGGCAGAAAAAAATGAGCGCATTGAAGAGCGGGAAAGGTTTTTATAAATATATGCGACGAAAAGCCAAGAAAATGGATATCCCATATGTTGAGAGCAACGCACCTGAACAGGAAGCTCCATCGAGTAGTAGGGGAACCATTCAATGAATTACACAGTAATGCTTTCTGATCAGAATCTTACCGGTTTTGTGATTTTTTTTTGATGAAATATCATTTTGTTTATTTGTATAAGCTGTCACTAAAATTATCAAACTTATCATTAATCATCAGGACTAGAAATCAAAACTCAGCAATTTCCGAAGGTAAAGCAAAATTTTTTTATTTTTTTTTTTGACCAGTAAGACCTAATTTTACCGTAAATTTCAACACCTATTCAAAAAAAGTATACTTTGCCACTTTAGTCTGTAATAGGAAGATATATTTTTAGGAATGCATATTAAAAACGGATGAAGGCAAGAGATGAGAATTACAAAATTTGTAAATTAAATAAAATTATTTTAATGATAAAAAATGTTTCGGTCCATTAAAACTCGTGTACATTTCTTGCCATTACCACAGTTGGACCTCGTCAAACTAAAGTTTTAGACAACAGCAGTTTTTGCACAATATGAAACGCATAGGAGGATTTGGGGTTTGAGTTTTATTGTCTCTTGTTCAGTAGGTGGTCTTAGATCCAGATTCGTGTTGCTTAATTTCAGACGAGGTGTGTATGTCTTATGAATTTTTGTTTTTGGGATTTCTCTCTCTGTTTCGGCTTCTTTTTTAGTCCTAGGTCTATTCGTGTTTTTTTTTTTGCGACTCGAATTTGTGATTCCCGAAATTTGCTCACATCCGGGGGAGGAGGGAGGGGAGGAGGGGTGGGTTCCTGTCCTGTCTGGTCTAGCTACTTCTTATGACGCCAGTGGCATAACGGCCCTCCATTTCCAGGGCTGTATGATGCATTTCGTGATTTACATCGTCACGGGGCATTCATTCTTGATTTCATCCCTCCCATAATAGGTATGATAACCTTTTTATTTGGTACTTGTCAATCCTTTAAAACTTAATTTTGGCTCTCAATTTGCATTTTCGTAGCTTTTTTGTGGCTTTTTTATTTTGCTTTATGCTTGTTGCTTTGCAGTTTCTTCGCTCTGTATGTTTTAAAATCTTCAAAATATTGATAAAGCTATCATGGTTCACGTAGAATGGGCTTGAAACAATATCATTAACAACAATTTTTGACGGAAAATTAACGATGTTCCCGGAATTACTGAACTTATTTCTGATGATCTGAACGAAATCCAGTGCTCCTGGTGTAGTGTTTGCTCATGTTCAGTGAGGGGGAGAACCTTTTCAAGCTGTTTACCAATTCGCGTTTCTTCTTTATTATCTCCGTCATTCCTCTCCACTGTGCTATTTTTGGTGAATCTGCGAACGGGGCGTAGCAAATGATAAAAGATTTGCATCATCGTTGTGATCAACAGACAATTGGTACGGATGGCTATGTCATGAAGAACGCGGCTGTGATCAGTGTTGGCGGGATGTGAAGTGGAAGGTGTCCTGAGGAAAGGAGGGAGAGGAGGGGAGGGAAGCACCTACCCGGGTGTTTCTTGTTCGGTCAGGGTCGAGGTCAAGGTCAGGGTCCTCTCCGAATGTATCCTCCTGGATTGCTACAGCTTGCCGACATTATATTCACAACGTTATTTCGTATCAGTATCTCCAGCCAGTACTTCGGCTGTTTTTCCCTACACTTTATATTTCCCCCCTATAAGTTTTCGTTCCTTAACTATCTCTCCTTCCCCTCCCCCTTCCCCTCCCCATTCCTCGCCTATACCTTTACTGTTCCCTCCGATGCTGACGTTATTTTCAATGTTGATTGGCGGCGGCTACTCGAATTTTGGTTCGCTTGATTTTGACAAGACCAATTTATTCTCAGTGAGCTTAATTTTGCTCGAAAGACCACCACGTCTGCATTACATTGTGGCACTTTTTCGGAGTAATATTGCGGGCAGCTGGTATTGTCATGAAAATCGGGATGTTAGTGTTGAAGTTAACATTCTTCTACATCTCAAAAGCTAAAGGAGTTTTGCTCCTCGCCCCTACCTGAGCTGCAGCTCTACTTTTTGTTAGTCTTGTAATCATTTTGCTGTTCTAATCGAGCAGTCGTTTGTCAAAAAATTCATGTATGCAAATTAACTGATGTTCATTTAAATATACGATTGTGGTTCGGGTTACGATGGGTTTCTTAATGACTTTTGAAGAGCTGCTTGAGGCTGTGATTGAGGTGCTCGACAGCTGAGTTTAAAATCTTTAGTTCGCACATGCATAGAGAATATTCCTGCAAAGTTTCATCTTTCTACCTTGCCTGGTTCGCAAAATCGTTTCCCGCCAACATTTTTTTGGGAGGCCCGTAGGGCGCGATCTAGACACGTACGGGGAAGTATCTTAAAACGGGATGATGACACATGGGGTAGGAACGTACACCCGAAGAAACGTGCTTTCTAATCTTGTCAGGATCTTACTTTGTACCAGTCTTCCCAAATCCTTGAATGTGTATTTACTTTTGGTTTCGCCGGTAGGCTTCTAGAAGAACGCTCAACTGTCTGACTTGGTTTAGCATAGTTTCATCCCGTTCAGCGATGAGCACAGAAGACCTCTTAAATGCCATTACAATCCACTCAGAGATGTAGTGCAGGGACATAGTCGATTGGGTGAAGCGATTCTCCGTACAGCGATAGCCGAAGTAATTCAGGAAATCTCAGAATTTGGATGTATTCGATTCTAAATCAAGCAGCTGGCAAATCGTCATTTTGCCCTGTTGTAAATTGATAATGTTTCCTTTGCATGCAACCATTTAAATTATATGATATAAAAATGTATTCATTAGAACCTCAAAGAATACAAAACAACAATAAACACGGAAATGGCTGTATCCGCAAGAAGAATTATGCGCACTAGTTCCATTAAACACTGTGAAACGACATGTAGGATTTAAGTGATACACATACAGTATAAATGTTCCAACTACTAAAGTGGAACACAAGGATAACACATCACACATCATAGATATCACATCACGACTCGAAGGATCCGAAAATGATGAAAAAATTTGGTCCAATTCCTTCGGACCCCGTAC